TACAGGGTATACTTACAGTCGTACAGAGTATACGTACAGTCGTAAAGAGTATACGTACAGTCGTAAAGAGTATACGTACAGTCGTAAAGAGTATACGTACAGTCGTACAGGGTATACTTACAGTCGTACAAACTATACGTGCAGTCGTACGTATACATATCATAATATAGCAGAGCAGATTATAGCAGTGTAGAGCATTTATAAATCACCTGACATCTTCCTTTAACGCAGACATCTAAAATCGCAGGGTTTTCATAGCAACGGGCGCCATCTTGAACACGAAACTTGAAAATATTTCGGGTCTTTGTTGAAATGCAATACGTTTTACAAAGTTCCATTGGGATTTCCAGGGGATTAGCTAAGTGCAAGTGAAGAAATACAATTATTTTCATAACGATATCTTAGTCGGAATTTCCAAGAGTTGAATCTTTTAGATGGAATTTCTAAAGATTAACATTATAATACAGTCCACACTCATTACAACGGACACCTCAAGGATCTCATTCAATGCTCGCAATAGCGAGTGTTGATTATTGTCAACTCTCACCCTTCGGACGCTTCGATATTATGGACACCCCGTTGTTACGTACAGTAAATTATATCCCTGCTTCAAGGAAATCAATAGAAAAAACTCTCTTAAGTGAACATTCGCCGTTACGGACATTGCATTGCAGTTCCGAGAGCGTACGCTATAGCAAGGTTTGTACTCACTGCTGTCGTCAAGCGGTGGTGAGATGTCCAGATGGCAAGGTCCATCGGTGAATTTGATATCATCAATGGCTACATCTGCTCTGTAGCCATCTCCACGAATACCTTGAAAAACAACCTAACAAAACAATACATATTATGATTTACAAAACAAAGCAAAACGAAACGAAACGTAAAAAAAGATACTGATAAAAAAAACGACTTTGATAAGATTATAACGCATTTGATTTTTGGTTTTAATAAAATAAGAACTTGCGTTACCCGATATGGCGTGACACTTAGGATTGTGACATGCTTCTGAAACCACTTATTCCCTTTATTTCCCGAGTGGCCCCAAATCATTTTTTCCTTCTTGGTTGTGTTAATAAGCACTTCAAAATCGCCAAAATGATCATCATCACCAAACGCATGATACCAGAATGATAGACATGTCACATGCTTGGCAACTAGTTGACTAATAAGGCGAGCCCTCCATCCTACGTCCGTAGGACGTGATGTTTCAATAAATAGATAGGTACCTAGAACAGATGTAACGCAATGTGAAACAGATGTAACGCAATGCGGAATTTAAGTAACGCAACATATATAATCATAGCGCATATGATGGCACAAAGTCCATACAACGCGCATCATGATTGGTTCATTAGTACAGTATGGTGTACCTTTTTTACCAGGTCCCAACGTATGGTCATAACCAGGTCCTGTATTCGATGAAGGGGTTTTCCCTGATGCTGGCGTCCAGTCAAAATTGTCGTGATCATCTTGTTCCCATCCGCACAAACCATTCTCAAAATCGCAGTCAAGATTTGCTTTAAGGATAAAAGTCATGAGCTTTGTTAATCAGTTTACGAACGAACGAACAATCAATCGAACKAACGATCGATCGATCGAACGAGTGATCGAATGATCGAACGATCGACCAAATGAACGACCCATCATTCAAAGATTCACTTACCATCATAGACATCATAGAACACCCATTCTTTCTTGGTTCCCCGTTGTTCACACTGATTGTACCTTATCTGGTCATATGTGGGTGGGATACTAGAACAGGGCTACAACAAATGAATGCTCTTCTTGAATAAGAATGTCCAAGCAAACAAGATATCAGTAAGCTACTATACCTTGCTGTTACAGAAAGAAACATCGATAGCTGACCCTTTACAAGGCAGGCCACCGTAGCGAGGTCTGTTAAAAAGGAATAAGAACCATTTATGTATGAGTTAGACAACAAGGGGTGTATCAGTACACTCACTTAGGAGCGTTGCATGCTCTCGCTCGTATCTTGATCCCTTGTCCACACGTCATGGAGCATGGTCCAAAAGCACTCCATTTGGACCAGTCACCATTGACAGGTTTGGGCGTTGGCTTTAGGGTGGGCAATACAAAGGATCCATCTTTTGTCATGGGTACACAGTGACCATAGCGACACCACTACAACACACACAGTGACAGGTTATATCTGTATATTTTCGAGATTCTACGGGCAATCTTACTGGCTGAGAACGAGCGATAATAGGCGCACTCTGATTGGTTCAAAACTATGTGTAAAGTTGAGATACTACGACCATCCTCATTGGCTGAGAACTATGTACAATTCATTAATGGTATGGTGTAACCTTCAACTTGTTCAAATTGAAAGAATATCCATATTTTTGTCGTTTTAAATAATAGATCTGATAGAAGATGACTTGCCGTTCACTAGTAATACAAAGTGATGGGAAATCAAGAGAACACAAGAAGTATTAAAGGTGAAGATCGCCGATTCTTATATTTAAACGCCTAATATCTAACCATCTCAACAGCGCTTACTCACCATTCGTTCGCCGCAAGTAGTCCCCTCTAGGGGAGGAGTGTTTCTTGTTCTGCACCAGCTCGAGTAGGTGTACTCATCACACCAAAGCTTACTACATTTCTTCCTTTCATACGGCTATAACCATGACAACACAATTACATGAATTGAATTTTAAGAGTTTGATAGTTCAAAAGAAGTCGTTTTAAGTAGGTTGAGTGACGTTTGATTTCACACGAGTCACTCTTTTATTCAGAATATTTGGCTGTTAGGTTGTAATATACACTGGAAAAAAATCGCGCACTTTAAAGGTTGTAAATTTAATGTTAATATGATGAAAGTGTCCAAAATGATGTAAATTTGATGTAAATGATTTACATCATTTTTGACACTAACATTTACATCACATTTACAAACTTTTAAAATGCGCGATTTTTCCATATGTACCGTAAGTTCACTTTATTGTGCTTGGCTTACCGTTTTACACGAAGAAAATGAATTCCCGAAGTCCATTTTACATTGTTCGTCCAAGCTATAGATTTGCCCTGGTAATTGTTGCATCAGGGTGCGGTTGAATTGATGCGGCTTGTCATCCAAGCACCAGAGGGCACTACAGTATTAAATATGTCATATTGTTACAAGAGAAAGTATGAGTCATACTCATTTGCTCTCGACTAAAACACTCCAAAGATCAGTAATAAATTGTTTTTAGCCTCCCCCGCATGATCACTCTGTTTTTGATATTTGAAAGTCTGAGGACTGCGGAGGAGGTTAGAGTTTTCAGTCTCACTTACTGAAAATGGTCGATAAGTTCTCTTCTGCTACAAGCTGACCAATAAAACCGGTCAAACTTGGATCGTACAAGCGGCGCCATGACGCTACCTTTGAGCGTGTCTTTGGTGCAATTGTTATGAAATCCATCATGTTCCATTCCTAATCTAATAAATAATCATTAAGAAATAACGAAATTGTTTAAAATACGTTAGTATTTCAGCTGGGAATTTTGCAGCGACGCTATTTTCTGAGCAGATCAAGACGGATGACTTACGTGTGTCCAGTTTCATGAGCGACAATGAAGGATGATGGGAAGCCGTCATCTTCGTTAAGAGTACAGCTCTTTGTACGGTAGCACATGCTAGCAACCGGGGCATAGCCTGAAACAAGGAATCAGTAAATCTTATATATTCATTTTAATGAAAAAATATAGCTCTAAGTTTAAAGTGCCTTCGCTATATTACATCATTTATATTAATTAATAACATCAATTTATTATTATTAGTGCTTTTCATTTTGCTTACCGGATGGTCCAAAGTCTGACCTTAAGAAAGTACAAAATAGAAAGTTGAGTTAGGAAAAAACGCTTTAAATAAGTTATTTCTTAACCCAAATAACCAAGTAAGGAAAGAATTACCTTGTAAGGAAAATAGTTTGGTCGTGGAATTTCTTAGACGTTTTGTCCCATCCTTTGCGCATCTCGTGTCCCCACTTGCAGACTTTGTTCAGACTGTCAACAGGACTTCGGGTGATTTCTACACCTTTCTACATAACGAGTGATTGACAAGTTATGAATGATTGACATATAAGAGCAGAATTGATATAATAAATAATTATTGGATAACGTTGAGCATGATATGGTAAATTATCCTTGGGTGTAAACTTACAGGATTTTCTTCAAGGATAGCTAGTCGTGTTACTGTTAAATCGATTTTAACTCCGAGCGATGGATGGTGAAAAATTCTAGAAACCTGAAAAAAAAGGAATTTTGATTTATATCAGAGTTGGATTCGATCTGTGTGCAATTTTGATTCATATATATAGGTAGATTTTGTTGTTTTCCGTTAGTCGCATTTTGTAGCAATGGCGCGTGCAAAACACTCAGTTTGCTGAAGAAGGCCGAAGTGCCGAAACGTTCATTAAAAAGTAGAAAACCTAGTTACAAGTTGCGTGGCTTTTTCTTCATTTATTCTATTTATAGGTAGATTTTATATATATGATATCAAAGAGGCAAGATTTTGCTGTAACTCCGAGTTTCGTACAGCAATATGCAGAAATTATGATCAACTTGATCAATTTTGAGGCTTACGGAAAAATTCCTTTCAGATAAAAACATATCTACTTGCCTTAAGAAGTGCAGTTTTCCATACACTATATCTTGTAGTTCATCAATCAATACTTACTATGTTCATGAGTGTTAAAATGTATCGTTCCACTTTGTCTTTGCCGTGATGTTTCACTACTGAAGAATCAGCGGTTACCATGGCTTCAATGTGTTTGGTACTCGCCGTGTGCATGTCGGGATACTTGGTTTTTGGTAAAATTAGATTTACTACAATATAATAGCGTAATTTATGTTAGAAATGATGTTAGGTGGTTATGAATGACCAGGGATCTGGCCACAAGCTCTAGATTCGCCCCATTTTTGAAAAATTGATCCTGTATACACCCTTTTAATAAGTCCCAAGGCATTGAGTTCTCCRCAYTTGAMGTCAAATTTWTTCTTTTGAAATTTTTACAATACAAAAGGAATTCAAAAGAATAAATTTGACGTCAAGTGMGGRRAACACAATACCTCGGGACTTATTAAAAGGGTGTATAGGGTACAAATACTAAAAGTGCAACATAAATACTGCTAAATTATACTAATACTAATGTTTTCTATTGTTCAGTTAGTACTTCTTAGCAGTAAATAGTGCAAAGTGTTGCACATATTTAGTGTTTCTCTATCAATAACTGTTTATTTATTTTTTTATTTGTTTGTTTTAGGAGGAAGGCATGGTTCTTATGGTATACTCTGATAAATTTTTACAAAGCAGTTATCGTCTAGGCTAACAATCATCACATTAAGAATGGATACTCACGAGGTACAGTAGCCAGTACAACCATGCGGTTGATTTCATCACTTTTAATGGGTGTCAATATATAACGTGTGTTCAACCATAATGGTTTCCCTGTGTCGTAGTCAGTGACGGTCCATCGATGTGCAGTATATGTCTTTATCATCACTACATCACCAGGGGCTGCTGTTGTAAACAACGTCTTTTTGGTACTTGTGGTGTCATGGTAAAATATCTGGATGATATATATAAGATATTACATGGGCGCGCGGTGATACGGATTTTATCTTCGATTGTTGAAAAGATCTCAAATTTAAAGATTTTCAACAAGAGAAGACAACATTCGTATCTCCAAGCGACCATGTAATATTCTGTTTATCATATAGTTTAGAAAGCAAGTTATGTTGTAGCCAGGTTGCATGCGACGGTTGTTAGGAAAAGTTGTAGATGCTAGCCTACGTACTATCCGGAATCATCTTTGTTATTTGGAAAATGTCCGAGGTGCAAACGCAGGCTAGAAGATGCCCATTAGGCGGGTGAAAACCTGGGCCAATAAAGTTTAATTTGACTTGTTCTTAGGCTGATGTACTTGAATCTACAATAATGAGTAAAATCTTTATTTTTTTCTTCCAGTACCTGAATGAAGCGTCCCGATCTATTAATCACCTTCAGGTAGCTGTTAGGAGGATCAGGTGTCCTGACTTTTGGAAGCTTGAGGCCCTCTAGCAAAGTCAGATTATCAGGTAAAGCTTATATGAATATATATAGGAGGGGGAGGGGTAAGGGGGATCATTCTTAACGACAGGAATACATGTTAGCAACAAAGGAAATGGAAAAATACAAAGTATATGAGAGAAATATAGTGGAGGAGTAGAAATGGGAAAAACAAATAGTAGGAAAGAAGAAAGGGAGGGGAGTAATGAAAAGGAAATTGGAATTAAAAACAAGGAACAGAAGAAGAAGGGGGCGAAAGGTGAAATGGGAGAGATGAGTAAGAGGGAATTGTGGTAGGAAGTAAAAAGAGGAATGGAAAGAGGGTTAAGATACCGAAGGGGAAAAAAAGGGCGACAGGAGAAAGAAGGAAGAAACGAAAGCATATATAAGGTAATACAGAACAATTCAGAGGAGGAGGTTTTAGAGGAGGATGTAAGGAGGGGGGATTTAGGGGGCTTATATCTTACTTGGTATTGTAATATAAACAGTTTTCCTTTCATACGCCGAGTTAGCTTTAGGTGCATATAGTTTTTTCCCATCAATCAGTAGCCGTTTGTTAGTTAAGGTATCACGTACGAGCCATCGATGACTTGTGAAGGTATTTATACCCTGATCGTCGTTAATCGGGAAATTCGCAAATAGCTTCTCTTTGTCTCCATCAAGATACAATACCTAAAGAAAAAAATGCTTAAAGGGTCGAAATTCAAAAAACTATTCCATATTCGCAGAAGGAGGTAAGCGTTCTTTCAGGGGTGGAGTCGGGAAGGTATGTCCTCACCTTGACTGGACGATTAGCGCTGTTTACAACTCTTATGAATGCTTTTGCTCCACGGAACTCAAACTGCTTTTTATCTGCAATGAAAGAAACATGGAAAATGGATTCAATTTGATATAAAGTAGGGCAAAAAAACTGATAAATCAAATGACCTTTGCAACAACAACAACAACAACAACAACAACAACAACAACAACAGCAACAACAACAAACAACAGCAACAACAACAGCAGTAAAAACAATAACAGCAACAGCAACAGCAAGAACAGCAGAAAGAAAACAACAACAAAAACAGGAACACCAGTAACAGCAGCAACAACAACTGCAACAACAACAGCAACAACAACAACAACAACAACAACAACAACAACAAACAATCGATCTCAACTGAGTTAGTGGCTGAGATGGTAAAAAGCGACTGCCAGTACAATGTCTTCACCTGAATTGCCCTTAGCATACAGAGGTTTCCATAGATCCCCATGCATATCAAATGCAACACTTTGTATCTTCTTAAGCACAGATTGTCGATATATTAAATGTGGTTTTCCCTTCTTCTTTGTCTTCACAGCGTTCTCGTTAATGATTGGCTCAATGAACAGGATATCATCAGGCGTTTCTATGGCACCGGACTGCAATGGAATGACAAACAGGTCGGTGAAGTTGTTTTTATTTGATATCGAGGCTCGTGCTACTCCTTGAAAACTCATGGAAATTACCCAGAAACTTGTTTTGAAGGGCGTTTGAAAAGCACTTGAAAATTGGAATGATTCCAAAAACATCTGGAATATTCTTTGAAATGATTGCACTAACATTTTACTGTTTAACGTTTGGGTTGAAATAAGGGTGTTTTTAAAAATTCCAGCCGGAAACTTCCCGAAACATCACAAAAGATCTCCAAAAATAGTACTTGAAAAGCGCATTAATGTGTTTAAAAGTACTTGAAAAGTCCTCAGTATTGTTATGAAAATGAAGCACGAACTCTGTATTACACACTTGAGATAATACGCGCTTTCTGATTGGACAAAAACTATGTTCTCTAAATGAATTTGGCACAGTTGAGTGACATCATTTTGAGATAATAGGAGCATTCTGATTGGACGACAATCGTATTCTGTGAATGAATTTAGCACAGTTGTTACACATCTTTGAAAATATGGTTGAGATAGTGCGCACATTGCGATTGGAAGGGAAGTATGTTTTATAAAAGTTCGATAAATTACTAGAGTGCCTGTGGTGATCTTTTAAAATAGATCGGTTTTTTTACAAAAGCGATGTAACAGCGCCATGCCATGATGAGGTCACTATTATTGCCCAAGTAACATGTTCGGTTCCTCTCCTTCTTCCGATGAACTGCTTTCAGCCTTGTTTTGTTTTGAAGCGGAAATCTAATCTGCTGCTAAGCTTCGCTGTTCTATATTTTTTGTTTTCCTGTGCCCCGCCTTTAAACGCTTTCTTGGCCAGCTTTACTAGTGCAATGAAAATTCTAGTGTGCAATAGATAAAGGTAATTTTTAAAGTCCTTTAATTTTTTATGTCAACGCTTCCCGCTGTTTCTCTATATTCTAAATGAGTCTTTGTTTTATCTGTCTGTTGTGCCTGCAGGCTTTAATTTGTCTTTTTTGTCAGTTTTTCTCTGTTCGATTCCTCCCTTTCAGAGCCTTATTTTCTATAATTCTATCTGTTTATCTTTACTTTATTGCCTCTTATCTTTTAATGTCCCATTTCTATTTTTTGGTTGTTATGAAATCAAATCAGGAACAGATGTTAAAATACAAGGGACATACACTTTTGAAACTAGTCCTTAACTTGAACCAGTTTATTATCACACGATAACGAAAAAAACCCTTCAAAAACACTTTATTTATCCATTTTTACTTCAGTTTGTACCTGTTATTCCTTGAAGCAATACACTTAAGTATTTTTTTATTGTTTATTGGCACGGCTAAAAGAATTCCGGTACCATATCACACGCTACTTTTCGATTTCCTCTGTTGACACTTCAAGCGAGAAAAATAACTTAAAAATAGACTTGAATCGTGACTTCTTTTTGTGTTATTAGTGATCTGTTGCGAAGTGATTACGATGTTTGTTTATAGTATGTTGGGGTGATTGTATCATTAGTTATATCATTTCCTGTTCGTATTTTTTTTTTTTTTTTTTTTTTTTCGATCCTTGTGAGGTTATTATATTGTATTTGAAAGAGAGTTTAATAAGAAGCCATAAAATTGACGAATGAATGAATAATTGAATGAAAAAAAAAAAGAAAAGAAGTGAGAAGAGATTAAAGATGATGAAAGAAAATTGTGTATTAGATGGAAAAGGAAATGAATTGCTAAATAAATGAATGAAGGAATAGGAAAAAAATGAAATAGGAAAAACAAAAAAGAAAATAGAAAGACAAGGCATGATTGCAAGCAAAGAAAATGGCATATAGGAAAAATATATGGCAGTATAAATGAATGAAGGGGAAAGAAAATAATGAAATAATGAAAAAGAAAAGAGAAAGAGAAAGCATCATAGCAAGGAAAGAAAAAGGCAGAAGGGAAAAGGTGAATATATGAACAAATGAGTAAAAGAAAAAGAAAAGAAAAGGAAAGAAAGTAAAGTAAAGTAAAAAAGATAAGAGATTCTGGAGAGAGAAAGACAAAGCATATTAATTATATCAGACTAGACAAGAAAATGACATAGATCACGAAAAAAATATATATTAAACGATCAATTAAAGTAATAAAAGATATCAGTTAGATGATAAATGAGGCAAACTGACATTAATGAATCGCAAAATAAATTTCTGCGAAATTAATGAATAAATTCATTAAAGAATGGAGAAATGAAGGCAGAGAACTAATTAAAAAAAGAGAATGAAATAACCACTTTTCCTAGCAAGTTTCTAACCCTCGAAAGTAAACTTTCAAATCAGTACACATCAAGAATCTATAAATTTAAGGTTTTGAAAAATCTCTCCCACATTATTAACGATGTCAAGCCAGCCGTCAAATAAAAAACATCAAAACCGGACGATGGAACAGTTAAATGCGTCATCGTGAAGAAATCAGATCGGATTTCAATCTGCTATTTATCGAAAATGTAGTAATGGATTTTATAGATAACTCTATCAATTGAGGGCAAAAAAGCTTGAGAATACGTACAGCAAATCTTTCAGCAGAACGATAGTCCCCCTCCCCTTCCCTCCCCTCCCCTCCCCTCCCCCCTTCCCTCCCAGTAGATTGGTAGACAGCGTATAGATGAAGCTATATTTTTAAAAAACACCAAACTCTTTTTGTCCGCAATTGTAGATCCCACAAAGTTACATTGCAATTCAAATAGTTTGTCTGTAAGCTAGTATTATTTCAGAATTATTAAAGTTTTAAACATTATTATATATAATATGGTATATAATACCATAGTATTATTTTTCTTCTCTCCCCGAAAGTAGACCCAGTAAATTTAGTGATATTATATAACATACTTTCAACTCTTTTTTAAGCAATCTTAAGTCAGAATACTCTTTTTAATTAGTATTATTTTGTCAATATATCACTGCCGAGTGACAAATTTCAATAATAAATTATGAGAACTTTCGAGAACACTTAATATATTGTCATAAATAATAATGATAGAATAAAGTCTATTCAAACCGTAAGGAAAAAAGTCGGGCTGGAAGTCAAACGTCCGGAACAGAAATGAAATTTAAGGAAATCTCAGAAAACATTGATGCCTATTGAAATATAATTAAAGGATTATGTTCAGCTTTGCGCACCTTTTAAAGACGTTTCTTTGGTGATTTTAGCGATATTATAATAAGTAGTTCTCTTTCACTTTAACTTCCCGAAAAATTGAAAGAAAGGAAGCTTAGATTAACGGTAGATTGTACGAATTGAGAAGTGATTGGTAACCTGACAAGTTATCTCTACAAATATGACAATTCAACATTAAGCGAAATATAAATAAGCTAAAGAGCTGCCAAGATTGCAGTCTATATACCGTTAACTTTGCTTAAGATTGAAGTAAAATGTAAATCTACTTCTGTTTGCACTCTTACTGTGTGTGTAGAGTATTTCAACAGTTTAAGAAAAGGCAAATATAGATGAAAAATGAGCGCTCTAATCCCGTGAAACACACTTTAGCATGCTACACTACAGTTTTTATTTTATTGTTAAATCACTCTAAATCTGTGAAATTAATATTAAAAAAATACTGTTTGTCTACTGTTTCACCCTGAATTTTAGTTTTTGTTTTGCGGGTTTATTGTCTTTCGACTCTAACGTTATATTTTAATGACCTATACAGTCAAATGGATGCAAAGTCACTCGATTTGATGCGGTAAATTAGGTGCGAAAAGTCATCAATTTTCGCTTCGTTCGTCGTCAGATATTAAAGGTAATTTGTTAAGTAGAAATACCATAGAGAAGGGTTTTTTACATCAGGACTTCTCCTATTAGTTCAGGCTAGTAACGAGGTATATTTTTTTGCTGTTGATCCGGATCAAAACGGCCTAAAAACGTGATCCCGATCCCAAAACTCCGTACATCTCTTGAGCCGTGATCCCCTTACAGAATCGTTGAAAAATATCATTGATCCCGATCCCAAATGAAAAACCTTTGATCCCAGGTTAAATCCATTTGATCCAGATCCTGGGCCTAAATCCTGATCCCTGATCCCAAAATAGTCCAAAAAATGACGCTGATCCCTGATCCCAAGACCTCGTTACTAGCCTGTATTAGTTTGAACATCAACAAAGGGCCACCCATTGCGTGCATAGTGTGTTTGTCGTGTAGTTAATTGAAAAAATCCACAGACCAAGATTTCGTTAATGCATCCGGGACTAAAGGAGATAAAATAAAAAAAGGACGCTGCAAGTACAGCAAAAGATCTTACAGTGACAGCCATTTTAATCGACTATTAGGAAAATTACAGCTATCTCTATCTACATCGCCTTTTGCTTCCTATTTTTAAGTACATCATTCAGAAAACAAAGGTCATCGTATTATTTAAGAATCGTTTATTGTTTACTGCCCTTAGGAAGCCCTTGTTTACCTACGATTTGAAAAATAACAAGGATGAAACTTGAGCCAAATAAATACATAATAAAATAAAGTGGTTTTTATTAAACCTTATTTACTTACAATTAATTTACAAATTACTGTTCAATTACTAATCTTCTAAGTTCGTAGGTTAGCTTACTTCACTTGTTTACCAAAATATTTCCGAAAACAAACACATAGCGTGATAGTCAACGGACATGATAGAGCAAAAAAGCTCTTTGCCAAAATGGACGCTTTTTTTACACAGTTTGATGAAARTCAAAGCATTGCAAAGTTTTATTTGCTAATGATGCGTTTAGTTGACGAAAGTGGTCTTTTCAATACTATATAGTACAAGAATAAATGGCTAGGAAATGAATTTGTATATATCCGGCAATAACATGGTTATCTGACACTTTTTTCTAATGACTATAATGCACAAATAAACTAAGAAAAAAAAGGAAATACACTTTTGCGAATTGCGTTTATCACCATTTATTTTTTTCCTATTTTTGTCTTTCGGTTCAGCTTTCTGTCTATCACAATTAATTACTCTTTTAGCATTATATATCATTTCACGGGTTGGTATTTGTTATAAGACTGTTCCAGTGTCATCTATTTCACTGGTTTTTTGATCTTAGTCGAATGTAGTTATGGACTCACACCAAGTCCTTGATTCCATTGTTTTAAAGTTGGCACTCAGAGGACTATTACACCTTGACTATTAGATTTTGTCTCATGGGTTTAATGCTCTGATTCGAAACAGCACTTTTTAATAAGTTTTGCATTACCCTCTAAAACCTTTTTCGAGAAGACCATATGCTCAATTCTGTCGATCATCTATTTTTAATGCAAAGTGCAATGGCCTCTAGCTTGCAACAATCTCTTAAACTATACAGTCACTAATTTCTTTAATCCCTTCTCTATTAAAATGGTTTTGAAGAATGTCAAAGATCTAAGATAGTAGCTCGCTCGATAACGTAAAATATAGCTCAATAAAAGGCGAAGAAAATGCGAACTTTTCTCGACCAAGAGTTGAAACGTCTTGTTGTTTCCCATAACATTGGTCGCTAGAACACACAACAGCCGTCCGTTCATGGAAAAAAACATCAATCGTAAGTAATTTGAAGTGAATATTGCTTTGAGTGCTATTTTGACGACAATTTTAATCAGGGAAAATAAGATGACATGAATTTCTTACTGCCGGAGGATAACGAGAGATAGATGCTTAAGGAATATAAGTGTGGAAAAATATATCAATAATTTTCGTGCTCTTTTCTGCTATACTTACACCAGGTGGAAAAAAAGTCGAAAATATATTTGAAATGCTTTTGATTATAGGTTGTTGAGTTGAAAACCTTTAAGAGTGTTTGCATATGATAATGAATTTATGAAAGAACACTGGTAAATCCAAAATTCAAGAGAACATTGATGAATTAAATATCAGTTTATAATCAAAGGCCATCAAAGACTTTGGTTTGGGATTTCTCAACTGGTGGATAAAGCATCAGTGTTTGGTGATAAATAAAACAACAGTCTATGAATTGCTTGGTCTGGAATTTCTCAAGTTGTTTTCAATCACGAGGCATTGCTGATGAATAAAACAAAAATAAATGGATTAAATAAAGCGTTTGGTTTGAGTTTTTTTTATCAAATGATAGATCAGGGACGAATAAAACATCAGTCTATACTTATATAATAAATTTGTAATAATAAATTTTCCGATAACGCGGAGGTAATAACGTTACTTTTTAGCAAGCGTCATTAAAGTCAATATTCAAAGCCATTGTCTCTGTATGTGAACCCTTTAAAGTGGACTCTGACGTCACAAAGGTTATGGCGGGCTAGACTTTCTGATGAAATTTCAGAGTTTGAACTACACTTTTTTTAAAACAGCTAAACTATAAACAATATAAAAAGCTGAAGAGCGTTTATAATTTTTTTTTATAAGTTATTTATGTTTGACTAGTTTTATTACAAAATCGACTATTAAAATATTACTGATAAATATTCTAGTATTTCAGTATTATTTAGTATTATTATCACTAATATCAAGAGTTTCAATATAATTTATTACAAAACAGAATAGCTTATTTGTGTCAACCCTGGGGATTTAAACATATTAAACTAGAATCCTATAAATATTCAAGACTTCTTATCAATATAGGCCTATATAGACCCCTCTATACTACTTCGACATTGTCGAGTGAATATACCCGATAAATAGCTCTTGACAACTAACCCACGGGCCTCTCTAGGAAACAAAAATCACTTGCTTACATAGGATATTACACCTACGAATTAAAATGCTGTTGAGCATTTCTTTGTTTACGGTAGAAGGGAACCAACTGTAAGCGTAATTTATACAAATGATGAATTATTTATGCAATAGAAATTACCTAGGAACCTAGTGCTACTGCTACATACTATTGCACCTGCAAGGGGTACAGATAATTGTATCAATAAGTAACCCGAACCATACGATCGCAACTATAAACAACAGCCCCCATTGGCTAACGCATATACGTCATAAAACACAATGGTCAGAGAAGCGATTTATATTTCTCAGAAGCCAATATCCTTGTCAGTCGAAAAAAGACTTACTCGTAGAATTCGAATATCAACTCCAATTTCTACAAAAACACTAGATTTTAACATCTGATGTTGTCTTTTTTCGCTGAAACGTCGACAAAAAATACCAAAGGATTTTACTTGTTACTATCCAGTCCTTGATAATGACAGTTGATTGATTGGTTGGGTCGTATTTGTTCGTATTTGAAGTGCCGCCTGCAACCCAACTTATTTCAGTCAGCGCGCTGATGTAAGGGCTCATTCGTTGAAGCTTTTAGCACTGAACACTCCTCGAGTCTGACGCCTAAAAGTAGCTTGAATACTAGTCCAATTAAATGTACGCCAAGTAAAAGCTATTTAAAACAAAGGCAAAAATCCATCCAGATAAGAAAGAAGAGATCTTTTAATGGTATACATTCTCGAAGAAAACCTACGTAAAAACATTGCAAAACACCACGGTGAGTCTCATTTACATTTTAAAGAAAATATTTCATTAAATTGTTCTAGAATTGTTGGTATTTTTCTTCCGTAGTAGACAATATCTGGACTCTTTTTCTCTTCAATACAAAGAGCAGTGACAGAAACTCAACGTTATAGTTGGCGATTTGGGAATAAAGACCGGCGCTCAAAGTCGCATAAACCAAGTAAACAAGACGAAAACTTTCTTGGCATAAAGGGCGAGGTTACGACAAATCGGCAAGTTCCTGAAAATGGCTTTAAATTTCACAAGTTATAATGGAACTGATGGATCCAACCAAAGCACTGCGGGCCCTATTTATGGTGGTCCCTCCACCGGTGAGGTAGTAGCGTATTCCAGCATGTATGGCCTTATCTCTCTAGTTGCCTTAGTAGGTAAGTCGTTCATCAGTCTAATTTAGGAATTAAATTAAAATCTTTTATTCAAGTCACTAGGGGACTCGACTCAGTGTACTATTCAAATATAAATTGCTCACAAAGCAACAACAGTTGTTGTACTTCTGTTTCCTTAATATTTACTGTACAGATATCCTTCTTGTGCTAATCTCTAGCTTGAAATCATTTCCGTGATCAGTTGGGAATTGGGAATTTTTGTCTGTATTTACTCAATTCGTGCAATAACTTTGTTTCAATATTACAAGAATATATTATCTAGAGGATTAAGTTTATTTATAATAGCAGTTCTTTTTATTTTGTAAATGTTTGAAATTACCAATTTGTAATATATTCTTTTTGGGGTATGATTCTTATTAAGTAAAAGTTTTTGTCTTTTTGATCATAACATTTTGCATGTTCTGTGGTAAACAAAGAGACCATAAGTGATCTTTTATAAGGTTTTGCTTTTAGAAAGAGTGAATACATCCTTATTACGAATATGCCTGAGGTAAAAAACTGGGTGCAAAAGGGTCCGTAATATATAGGTGTCCGTAATATAGAGGTGACAATAATATTGCAAAAACAATGGAGTAGAAGACCTCATAGGCACCGTTCTAAGTTTGCCTTTGTAAAATAATCTTAAGTTATTATTCTATTTGCTTTTTTTCGATAAATAAAATCTAAATGAACAGAATGATGATATAAATGGCTCTGAGGTCACATCATTGAACAATAATCAATCTTGTATCCATCAGATATCTTACACTCAGTTCCGATACTGTTCAAATCTTAACAAAGCAAGTAAGACTATCAATTACATTGCGCAACTGAACCTTTATTCGTAATACATGTTATTGTTCTTATTTTGGAGAGTATAAGATCTACTTATGTTGTGAAACCTCGCTATTTCGTTCACTAAAAAATATGGCCGTCTACTTGTCTAAGAAATAGTTGAACTCCGGACGTAAAATATCGTTGTCTGAGTCGCATTGTCTGCAATGTAGTAGAAGTGCCCGGTATATAAGAGGTCGTAATTTTTACAAARGATGTATGGAAGTCGTATAGTCAGGATCTCAAAATGTGGACGACATATCGAGGTGACCGGTATATTGAAATTTGTTGTGTTTTTTCTTCCTAAAATGTATGTAAATCCAATTTTCGGGATTTGTAAAGCTGTATTTAATATAAAGCGGTATCCTTAATTTTAAGATTCTATAAAAGCCGGGTTTTACTATATCTCCAATGCCCACAAATTCATTAAAAACTACCATAATACGGCGTACCTGTGATCTTGTTAGACCGTCTAACAAGACTCATTTTGTCCGACTGGTCATGCGAGTGACATTTATTCAACCCTCAAACGCGTCAACTTTGCAAAGACTTATTTCAAATCACTTGTATGCTTTACCACATAGTCGAAAAAAATGTCAAATTTTGAATGACACTCTGAAGTACTGTGAATAATAATAATTTATTAGTTTTTCAATATTTTTTGTCGATTCTGGGTAATCGTGCGCTCATTTGCATGATAATTTACTGTGGCTTCCTCTCGATATACTTCTTAACACTTATTCGAAGTCCATCTGCGTCCATACCTGGAAGTTAATGGTTCTTTTTCAAAAGAATAATTTAAGCATTGTTTTTTTTTCTAAAGCAATCGGCAGGTATTAAAGCATGTTTTAATTTAAGCAATAAAAGGGTGGGTTGTAGTGGTCGCGGTGAGAGAAGCACGCGAAGATATCAGAGATAACATTTTTTGATTTCCTCGTTCATGGTATTCGCGCCTTTCTTAAAAAAAAATCCCGAAAATGGAAAATGAATTGCCTTTTTTGCTTTGATATGCATGAAAATGTGTTTCAATTTCGTAAACAGACGAGCACTTCATATTTTGTCGGGCATCGATTAAGTTATAAAGTAAAAGTTCTTTCTGGTGTAAGATTGAAATCCGATCTGAAAATATAAGAGAACAAAGGAGGCAAGGCCCATTTCAAACGACAAATGTCACATGTGATGAAGTCACTGCCATTTTCTCTTCAAACACAACCGCCCACTTCATGTGATTAACTTTTCGCGAAATTGAAACCAACCAAAAAATATTAAACATTTTGGTGCTATTTTTTATTTATAGAAAGTAAAAAAGCTTTTAGAATGTACTTCTAAGTTATTTTTACTTTTTTTCTCAAACAAAAATAGCGTTTTTTTATTGAATTTGCTGAACATTTTAAAGCCTGAAAACAGTAAAAGATGGTAAAAAGAGTTCTCTTTGCCCAATGATTTTTCTTACTAAGATTTCAAGTCTGAATGCCCATTTTTGTTTCTGTTTGAGAATTCTTGCATGTCCTTCAGCACTCTCACTTTTTATTTTGAATTTTGTATGATTTTCGCAAACAATAATTTCTATAAACCTGCCGCACCGGATAAATTATAATCCACCATTTTACATCCGAAAGGTAAGTTATAGAAAGAAACAAATTACCACAATAAGTGTACTGTTAAACTTTAATAAGTTGACTAATTTACTTTCAGTTTTTTTCAGACATTGAGTCACTTTTCATTTTCTTATCTAACTTCCAATAAATTAACTTTTGCGCTTTTTCCAAAGAGATGTCATTCAGTTGTGCAACAATTCTGGCTTCCATTAAAAAACCTGACAACTTGTTTTGAGCAATCTCTATTCGTGGCAAACATTAAATTTCATATCAATCTTCTTGAGAAAATGATGTTTACATTGAGTTCAAATTCAGAACACCAAACGTATGGTGTTTACACCAAGATGTTTAACGCCAATAACTTGGAAAATTTCAAAAAGTGGGGGTAAATTAGCCTCGAACTTGGCCTCACGGGAGAGTACATTGCCACATCAATTTTGTCACCATTTTTTTTCAAACAACCAATTATTTTCTACACTGTTTACAATATTTTCTATTTCATCTCTTACTTGTGGATATCTCCCGTCGAGGTAGAAAGATTTGTTTCTTTTGGAGTTAAAAGGCTCTGTTGTTAGCTAACGATGTTTATTCATAGTTTTAAACTATCGTGTTTTTCTGAATACAACATGAATTAATCAGGCGGAGTGCATGTATAATCGTTCATGTTGTTCAAAAAACATAAGCTTTTCATTGTTTTATTTGCTTTTCTTTTCTTTCTATCGTTTTTTCTTTGTATATCATTCTCTCTACTTGCTTTCTCGATGTCTTTTCTACTTTTTTATCAATTTTTCTCTCATTTTATAGTGTTCTCTTGTTTCCCTTCCTGTCTTTTCCTGCTTGCTATTTCCTTTTTCCTTTTTTATTTTTTGAAGTTTTCTCGCCTTTTTTTGCATTATTTATGTTTTCGTAATTGATTTGATGATATTTGTTTGCATCTTTTAAAACATTTCATCGCAATTTGACACTGTTCGGCGTCCCAGCATAGCACCGTTTTTGATGGAGCATCAAACAGATTCTTGGGAACTAAAACTACGCCTTGCAACTCCATCCAACTTTTTAAATGCTACCCAACAAGGTATTAAAAATTTAATGTTGGGCCACTAAACTATTTTGGATGTCGTTAAGTGATGGTTTGGTCATCCATCCAACATGGCGCCATGGCCTTGTTCATCATTTCCGTCAAAAACCTTTAGATCATGCACTTAAAATTATATATTTCCAATCAATTACCGATCTGCTTTGTTGGACCGAGTTAAAGCCGAAAGAAAAAAAATAGAAAATACTCCTCTTAGATTCTCTATCTGGTGTCTTCCTGTTTGCTTTCCGTAAGCCATTCTCTGTTCGGTAAATTGAGGTGTTATCGAAAATCACTACTTTCCGTTGCCAAGTATTATTCGACTCTGTATGTGTAAATACTTTGGCGTTGGTAATGCAATAGCTTTACTCAAGCCACAATGAACGCAAACATTCATTAACGTGTCATCAGTCGCTCACTTTGAACAAATAGAGAAAAAGTATTAAAAACGCATTAAGAAAAAAATTCAACCACATATATTAAGGATATCTATTAGGCTTGTTTCAAACTTAAAGGCTTTCGGACTCAGTGAAATTTATATTTAATCATTGCCTTTTCTATTGCGAGTACTTAGATATCACTTCGTTATTACGGGCAATGAAATAAATCCCCCTCTTAAAGAATAACTTGGTTATTACGGACAATGAAAGAAAATCCCCTCTAAAGATTTTAATAACAATACAGTTAACATTTAATCTTGTGGATACTACGTTGTTACAATAATATAACTATTAGAGACACTAGAATAAAACCCGTTTCCAAGAAATCACTGAAAATAAGTCCCTTTACAGCGGACAGTCGACTTCGAGGAAACCTGGACACTAAGGTGTCCGTTATAACGAGAGATCGAGCTATTATTAACGAATTTGTGTTGAATAAGACCTGAAATGCGGCGTGGGGCTTACATTAGTTCCAAACAGACACTATCAGCTGTTTAATAAAATAGCTGGCAATTTAATATTAATGGCGTGTGATAATGAATTATTTTAGCATATGATTTCGCCCAAAGGACAGGACGTGACATCAGAGAATATTCAAACACATTTTGCAGTTTTTCTTACAAGCAACAAAAGAAGTCTTTAACATGTTTATATCATATAGCCTTACGGACTTGGCTGTAGCTAACGTGATAATAGACAATTATTGCATAAGACTGAGTATGATATGAAGAATTATTGTCTGAGATTGAGTATGCATATCAAAGAATTGTATATCATTCGTGCGGATTCCCTGTGCTTTTTAGTTTTGGGCTTCCTTTAGCGAATCCRTGMCATATATGGAAACAAACAAAATGGCGGATTGTTTAGAAGTGTTTTCGCTATAATATCTGCAAGTTTCCGACGATTTCAAGCTTTAAAAGTCGAGAAAATCGACAAAAACCATTCCTATCGAACTTCCAAATAAGGTAMGATTACCATATATGGYTGSTAAACRAAGGATAACTTTTGTGGGGCAATTCTTTGATATGGATAAGGAGATAAGGAGGAGTTTTGTTTGAACGTGGATGATCATACTTATGATAKGGTATCATGGAAAGAATCATTGGATCAAACTATTATGTTGGCCAAGGTAGTTTTTATCTGGCTTAACAGAAAGCTGAAGATGTTGCCATTGTGGCTTGACGTAATCATTGAATATCGTATGTAAGGTCAGCGGTATTTCAAATAAGCTCTGAGCTTAACATCGCAGAAAGACTCGAATGTCAAATTAAGTCAATGAAAAAATGAAAAACAGATAACTGTTGTTCGCACTGTAAAAGATTATAATTGTCTAAACAGTTCAGTTAAAAAGTCATCAGATATTGAAGTATCTACGAGAAAAAATTATAACATCTCGGAATTCATTTTATTAAAATTATATATCATTTGAAGCTAATCCAAAATATTTGCTCGTTTTTTTTATTTTTTTTTTTTTAGTTTTTGCTTTTGTATATATTGTTTACTGTTTTGTTATTAGTTAAAAAAAAATGATGAAGATTAAAGAATTTATTATTAAATGCAAATAAATTGATCAACAACACCCGATTTTTTATCCTTCGCCAAGTCAATAATATCGCAGTTTTCATTAAGAAATAATTTTGGCTTGTAACTTGTAATGAAAATGGCTATAATGTTGACTGAGCTCGCCAAAATAAAATACATCAGAAAACGTCAAAAGTTTGGTTTTATTAAGTTTCTTATTTTTTTCTTTATCGACTTCCTGGAATGGTTGCCATAGCGTTTCTTTGAATTTCTCCTGCGCTACTTATATAAAGTTAACTTTACTTTTTTTGTCCTTGAGGGTGAGTTCTGGTAGTATAGGAGGGAAAAAACTGGCCACTAGAGGACTGTTTAAGTGAATTTGCTATTTACTCGTCTGATTTTTTAAAAAAAGGATATTCTTTTATTCTTTTATCTATTATTTCCGGATAGATACGATAAAGACAGTACTGGAGTAGTATATGGCGGTTGAAAGAGGCCTCGTGTCATTTATTTAAGTGCTTTTTAAGTCCCTGAACATATGTCATCGTTTTTTTCGTTCAAAACTTGAAGGTATAGACTGATATATTGTATATAGAAACTACATTGTGTGATTATCTAAAAGTCCTGAAATTATCTAAACCTTTAGATACGATCTGGAACCAGCAGCCATTTTGAATGAATAGACGGAACATTTTAATCACATGATCAAAAACATCTCTTAAACCCAACAAACKTGGCGATTTGTAAGATTAGATTCGGCACTAGAAGCCATTTTGAATTGGAGCTTTGACTTCAAATCAAACAAGATAAAAAAAGCAGTCTGATAACGTATCTGAATACTCCAGGTCTTGCGTTATAGTTTTAATCATGATTTTCCGTTTTTCCTCTATTTTTGATTATAAACGTTTACTTAGCTACCATGGATCTCTTAGGAAGCGGAAATCGGAAACCTCAATCCAGGTCAGTTAAGTATAAAATTCTTACAACAAGAGTAGTCTCAAGCACTTGAAGCAACTTATCGAAGTCATCGATCGATAGAAATCTTTTAAGAAGTAATCAGCTGCTGTTTTCCCTTGCGCTTCTTTGTCAAAGATGAATTTGCTTAAGGCGAAATTCAGAGAGAAAATCACTTGATTTGAAATATGTTGTTCGGTTACCATTAGCAACAAAAAAGAAGAACAGACTCGATCAAACCGCATCCAAATATGGCCACAATACTGAAGTGACAGTATAATACATTTATATAATGACCTAGAGCTATCAGAGTGCCCGTTAAAACGGGGCTGACTGTATTCGGGTCAGCGAATAGCCGTACATTTGGGTTTCACTATCGACGTATTTAGTATAAAAAAAGAAAAAATAGGAATAAAAGAGTATATATATTATATATATAGCAGATGTGCCCTATTGATAATATCAATTTGTTCACAAACCCACGCTCTTATTATCTGAGGGTCTTGTTCCAGAGTCGAGGTTCCTGTTCAAATCGAAGTGTTTATCTTACCAACAGAAATCCCGTAAGGCAGACTTTCTTCTTCACCACAGTGATCCCAAAAGTGAAAAAAATTCCTCTTGTACCACCACAGGAACAAAATAGCTGACATGATGTAATCTCTATTTCAGGAAATATATTGGTGTGTTTAGTCATAACCAAAAACCCAAGCATGCGTACTGCGACCAATGTTTTTCTTCTCAATCTGGCGATAGCTGATATTATATTCATCATTGTCAGTGTCCCAGCCATCCTCGCTTTACAAATATTCGAGGAGTGGCCATTTGGAGAGGCAGCCTGCAAAGGAGTACCTTTTCTTAACATCGTTACTCTTTCTGCATCAGTTTATACTATGGTTGCCCTTGCTATAGACAGGTAAGTGCCAGTTCTAGTACCGGTCATTTCCCTTATTGACGTCATGAATTTTACGGCGAAGTGCATCATGGTATCGACAGAATTATCAGGATGGCGGATATCTTATAGAAACAACGGAGAACGAGCTTTCTTTGCAGAATAAAGGTCATCCGTTGTTAACGATGCTTAAAAAGCAATAATATGGACGTGACTGCACACTCTAAAGTGAATACAAAAACCATTTCGATTGTCTGTTTTGCTTTGCAAATAATCTGTTTGGAACTGAAGTTACAAAATCAAAGATGGCGAATTTGTATATGCGAAAATGTTTTGGCGCATGCGATACCCAAAAAGCTAGTCTGAGAAATAGGTTATCCTTTTTTTCGCCAACATGTCTTTAGTACTTACAGTGTCAATCCCATAGTGCATATCGGCAAAAATCGCGTGACGTCATAAGGAACAAGTCAATAAAGCGTCAACCATGCCCTGAACTGTCAATCCYATAGTGCATATCGGCAAGGATCGCCTGACGTCATAAGGACCATGTCGATCCCATAGTGCATATCGGCAGAGATTGCCTGACGTCATAAGGACCATGCCTATATAGCGTTTAGTCTATCATCTTATTATTTGTTCCAGGTATAACGCCATTGTTCACCCACTACGTGCTAAGGTCACACACACAATGAGACGAGCTGTAATCGTAATATCACTCATCTGGTTGCTGTCAGCGGTAGTTGCTTTACCTCAGATTATGGTCTGGACCCTCGAGGACTTTTGTGTAGAAAGATGGTCCATTATCAGCGATAACCATTTAACCAGCAAGGATGTCTACACCGTTGCCATTTTTGTCATATTCTTTGCTGTCCCAATGGCAATTATTACTGTCGCGTACATCACGATTATAAAACGATTAACAATAACCGATGGTATTTTAACCGAAACGGCCCAGATAAGTCACGACCCAAGCCAGAAAGAGAGTCATTCAATCGATGAAAAGTCGGTGCCTATTTCGAGAAACAATCGGAAAACAACCTTCATGATGTTAACGGTTATTGTGGCTTTCTTAGTTTGTATGTTGCCTCTCAACGTGTTTTTGCTGGTCACGCCATTCCTCACTTCCTTCAACGAGGACTCTATGTACATGGCCTCCACTGTGCTTCAATTTCTTTCTGTCTGCTCCGCGGCTTGCAATCCAATCATTTATAATTTTTTCAGCGTTAAATTCCGTAGAGCTTTTGCTGATGTCTTCAGAAGCAGGTGCGGAACAAAGCAGCCAGTGCACAAGTCACGCTTCTATTCTTCATTTCGTACAAAGGGAACAACATTGTTATAGCAATCAAAGAAATCCTATGCGAAGAAAGCCGCTGAGCCAGTACAGTTTTGCGTGACATGGCACAAATCGGAATGATAATGACGAACAAAAGTAACGCAATGTGTACAAAATCACGCAATTATACTTTCAGAGGTGTTCTGAATAAACTGTAACGCAAAAACAGTGAGTCACACATTCGGTGGTAAAGAGAAACAGAAAGAGCTTAAGAAGACCATCTCTTATTTTTCCAAAAGAACTGTAATGCAAGCACAGTAAGTCACGCATTCGTTGCTTAAAAGAAACAGAAAGAGGAGGCAGACAATCTTTTATTTTCCAACGAAAAGTGTTCCAAAAGAACGGTAACGCATGTACAGTTAATCGCACATTCCTTTCGGTAAGAGCCGGTTGTCATTGGTCTACGAAAAAATCGTCCAAATGGACTGTAACGCAAGTACATAAAGTTCCGCTTTCAAAACAGTCACGCAATGTATATACTTTTAGCCATACATGTAGACTAGGTTAATTGTTGAACGCTTTGGTCGTACAAGCTCATTGCAGTAGTTACAGTATAACATATAGTGGAATTTCCCTCAGAATCATCGATTTTCAAATTTAGATAAAACAAGAAGCGCAGGAACAAACTAGACATGACGTCATAATATATGACGTCATTATAGGGTGACGATGATGTCATAGTAGTTCGGCTGTATAATCACCTTTTAATGGCGTCGTTCAGATTGCCGTTAAAATAGTGTATATAAGATTTACATCTGATAAACTCGGTAAAAGTCGTACATAAACTCCTTCAAAGCAGATAGCTTCTTAAAACCTAGCCAATTGGGGCCGAATTGATTGATGGGAAATATCAGGAGCCCATTACTAGGTGCATTTATGTCGTGTATTGGGTTTTGTTACATCGTTTTCATAGAAGTTTCTATTTTTAGATTTTTCACGGCCAATAATCAGTCACTTCCGGTGTTTTGCGCGCGAAAATCCGCTGGAAACAAACAAAATAATAAAGAAACATTGCGAGTGATACTAAAAGCAAATTTTCTTCTTGTCTCTCTGAATGAAGTGATATCAAGAACGCGGTGACAATTCTACTAAATGACGCTCCTAGGTTCTGGAGATGTCCATGATACCCAAATATCCTTTCAAAGCGGTCAGGAATGTTTTTGAACGCTTTTTAACCTTGATGAAAGCCCATATGCAATGGTGAGTTGTTAGTGTACAATGCAGTATAAAATCAACTTGTAAACTATTTCAAATAGGTTATGCCATGGCTGTGACATACGCTTAAATTAACGTTTAGAAATTTAGGGGATTAAGGGACATAGCGATACATTAAAAGTTAACAGGTCACTCAATATTCTCAACGCTTTCTTTCGTTTTTGATCAATTCCTAAATTGGAAAAGTTGCAAACTGTAGCAAAAAGTTGTAAACTGTATGTATAATAATAGCTAGACAAGATAGGTACTTACCAGTCCATCGCAGTCACTAATGGCCGCGCTGAGATTGAAACCTGTTGTTTCTCCAACTAGATAACAATGTTCAATAAATTTTGTTCTCTCAACGTCTCCTCCTTTCTTAAATCTCTCCACCGTAAAGTTTTGACCAAGTAGTTTCTCATTTGGTCGTAGTTTCATACGGTAGTCTTTTCCACGGTAGCGTACATTATAATATACGGGACCTTCATAGACGTCTAAACTTCTGCGTATGCGTCTCCCATAGTCGACAGAAGTCACGTGCCTAATGTATCTACCGCGTGGGTTGGTCTCTATTGGGTAGTCTATCTCGTATTCGGTTAATTGTTGTAATAGTTGTTCTGTGGAGAAATAAAAAATACATTTAAGGAAAACGTTAATTTAGGGGGAAAAAACAAAAGGACGGTGGCCATGTTGGTTGGATGAAAAAAAGATGTTTGAAGTGCGATAATCGCCACTTTGCTATCGCGCAACTCAAATTGTACGTGTAAACAGCCCTGCGATTGTTGCGGCGATGGAAAGTCACGGGGACATGCAGGCAATTTTCAAACATGTTCAAAACTCAGGCGATGGTCGCTTGACGATCGCCGCGAGAATCCCTCTGCAAGAGTCGCAAGTGTTAGCGGGCCTTCAAGTCCATTTTGACCAGAGGTAGTACTAGTAGTTTTGACACGTGTTCAGATGTTTCCTATCTTGTCAGGCATTGTGATAGTGAACTATCAAACTCTGCGGTTGTGCAACTTACGCATTTCTCAATTACATACGTAAAGAGAGTTATAACCATTAATTCATGTATGATGCTCTTGTTCGTTAATAATGTGATAGTGACAGAAGCTCTTTATTACGATGCACTGGAAAACATTACGCGCTTTAAAGGTTGTACATTTGATGTAATTATGATGTAAGTGCCCAAAATTCTGTAAATTTAATGGAAATCGTTTACATCAAATTTACAGAATTTTGGACACTTACATCATATTTACATCAAATTTACAACCTTTAAAGCGCGCGATTTTTTCCAGGCACGGGTATGCACATACACGTGCCGTATAGGATAATAAGTTCAAGCCATTTGACCTTGATTGACAAATGCGCAGCTTCTAGACTTTTTCTCGACAAGATTCCGTTTAACTGCAGAACATAAACTACTTTTAAAAACTTCTTGTAATTCTTGTAATAGAGAACACTAAGGAGTTGCAGAGAACAATATTTTTCCGTCTTGAAACGCTCGAAATAAACTGCATCCCACGATTGCGTAGCCCCTCCACCCCCCTCCCCCCTCCTCCCCTGCGTATCTCGATTGCGTACCTAAGTGAACCTCTTAAAACTATTCCGGTAAATTCAATCACTAAAACTGCAGATTTCACGTGAAAGAGCTCGTAGACCGCAGTTCAGTTTATGTTCTTTGAGCACACTCCAGGCATACTACATTCCACGAATGCATCGCTAAATAATCCTCTTAAATCTAAATTTATTTTGCTCTAAGTAACTTCAGTCGATTAATCAAACAAATAACTTTGTTACATGGCATCTTGCGTCATCAGTTGATATTACTACTAGTCGATTACATAAGTAGCTAAGCGGATGAGGGCATTCAGATACATAGTATATGCGTGAATGGAACTCGGCTTTGGCTCGCCATTGTTAACAACTGTACAAAAAAAAAACCACTAATTGAAAAATACTAAGAGTGGAATAATAGGAAATAATGAATGTGTGCAACAACTTTTTTCAGTTTTCTGCGTTCTATTTTCCATCTGTAGGAAGAGGGAGGGACCGAGAAATAGTTGTACTCAGCCGATTGCTTCCTGAATTGCAATAAAACTTATCAATTTTGGCTGCAATCCTGATGCTTGCAAAGATATCTTTTTTTATATCTACTTCGTTTCCTGTTCATGTGATGGATTTTTTACCTTGCGATCGACCGTATTTGGTAAGTACGTGTTCGTTGACCATATTTGGTAAGTAGATTTTGATCTAGTAGCTACATGTGATACGGAAGTTGTTATTTTTCTTCCCATTTTGTGGTTTTTCAACCTGCAGAAATCTCCCCTGGCTCAACAGCCCTGATTTCCAGGGGATGTAGTAATTTAAGTCTCGTTCTTTTTATTTACTTTGTAATGTATGCATTCTTCGTCTAGCTATTTGGCTATTGGCCATTTCGACGTTGCGCAGGGGACTGGGCACTAATCAAAGAAATATTGATCTATTCACGAAACAAACCCCACCAGATGAAAGGGCACCCAAAAATTAGTATATATACCAAGTTTCAAAACGTTTGGATAAAAACTAGCTGAACAGTATTTATTCCTAGTTTCATCAAATTAACAGAGAATGTATTGTTTTGGGGGACGCGGTCAAAATCCCCGTACATTCTCTGTAAATTGCACGGCTTCTCATTAATTGAATATTTGTCCAAATGATCTGTAACTTGGAACCTACACTAAAGTCGATAAAATCTTTTTAGTGATATGGTTAGTTTTTCGATTGGCTCAATATGACAGAAATTACAATTCATTTCATAACATAAGAATGGCCAATACTTGCTATAAAAGATGCGTTGACTTTAATCTCAAGGTGACACTGCAACATCCTCTGTCGTAGCCCGAGTAACTTTAACCCGTAACTAGTTTGACCAAAGCGCTTTATGGTATATCATTCCAGTGTTTTCTTTGGTTTCGATTGACTATTACACCTTGACCATTGGACTTTATTTCACGAGATAGCTGTCTAACAAGATCATTGCTCTTTTAAAGATATATTAAATATATAAGTAGAAATAATGATAACCTTTTAAGTACATTAGCCATTTGGAAAACGAATATTTTCTAAAAGATATCTTCAATAAATGTTCAAAACTATATTTCCATCTATCTTGTATGCAAGTGTTTTATATTGTCAAGTTCTATCCAATGTTCAACACTCACTCAGTTCTTTGAACACAGATGCAAACGGGCTATGATGATTATAGTTTTTTGTCAGGATGTTTGAATTTGATGAAATTTAATGCGAGCATTAGAGACCTGATTTCATGAAAGGGGTTATGTTCAAGTTAAGTGGATGCTGCTTATATAACCAAAACTCTTGGAACGCTAACCTATTGCATGCAAACATTTTCTTTAACATGACCGCCTTTTAAACGCCCTTTCAGTTCAATAACTCTTCAGCAAATTTCATTGATTGACACTTTCATTACCTCATACTGCCAGTTACCAATATATATAATATGGTTTAGCGATTATGTTATGGTTGAACACAACATGACCTAAGACAATATCCAGAACACGGCATAGTAACACAATGTAGTCCATCGAGTATCTTTGATTTGCAGTGTTTTGGAAAATCAGCGAAGTTACTGTATCAAAATTACTCTAATTTAGACTGTCAATCTATCATCAATTGTTGCATCCTATTGCTTCATTGGGATTATTTTTCGTTGACTACAGTGAAGCTATTGTTGGTTGACAATTTGCCAAAGCTCGTCTGTCAAGGTCCAGTATAGAAACGAAATTTCTCGCGATTTTTCCCTATAAATACACGCTTTTAAATGATTGCTGTATATAATTTCAAAGCCTTCGGGTATAACGTTTGATTAATAGTGCTTTGTTTCCTATCATTAATAGTTTAGCTGCATTCACCTACAACATGTGACTCGAGGCGAAGCTTAATATTTCCTATTCCGCTTATTATTATGTTACGAGTTTTAGATTGGAAAAGTTTTTCAAGTGGAATTTGTATTGTGCGGTAATGTAAACTTAGGGTTTTTCGTCAAAATATTAATTGAACAATTCTGTTTAATAAGTAATGTCTGTATAAGAAGCTCAACTCCTTACATAACGGTTTCTATAATAATTAAGTTCTTACCTTGGTGATTGCTTGCTGAAGAAGCCTTTATCTTGGTCTGCGAAGGTACAACCAGGCGAGGAAATGTTTATTATAAATGTAAATTAATTGGTGTCGAACCCTAGTGACTAGACGACAGAAGATCTACTGTTTGCACTTACTTGTAACGCCACGGCGACCATACAATTCCACAAACATACACCATATAATACAACAATATAGTTAATATCCATGATAACAGTACAACTGAGTTGTAAGAATAACGAGGAATAAGTCAGTCACATTCCATCCCAAGTGTATATGTATGTGACTTGAGATTGTGACGTCATGAATCTCGACCTGGACTGGTGACGAAAGTTGACCTTTAGTGCCGGATGACAACGAGTTGAAGATGACATAACTGTACGTGTTTCCGTCAGATGATTTCATATCCAGTCGGAAACGTAAAACATTGGGGTCATCTCTTGATTTTTTCAGCCTCCAGAAAAAATTTCTTTCCAATCCTTTGAAAATGAAACGAAAACACCCTGTATGAGTTAAGCAAATTGCGGCATTTAACGTATCTCTGTGGATCGAAGAGAGTGTAGTTTTGGCAAAGGATAAGATTTCTTGGTTTCTTAACATAAACTTACCAACCCACCCCCTCAACGTCAGGAAGTGAAATGGGGACTTCAGTAATGGGATGAAATTCTACCTTAATCATTGGTCCTTTTAGGGTTGTTGATATTTCATTTCTCTATATATTTGCAACTAATTAGGAGCATCCAAGAGGTTCCTGGGATGGGAGAAATATATCTGTTCAAGATGTGCCATACAACTGTAAGTAACAACTGGTTGACAGCAATAAAGTCAAGCAAAAAGAACTCTCCAGGCAAGGGATATTTATTTCTAAATTTTTGCCAGGAAAATAAAAAATTCCTAACTAAAAAAATTTGGCTGTTCTTGACCATAAAAACGTTATATAAGCTAAGCCTTTTTTGACATTAAAGACTTATGCCAGGAACAAAGTCAAAGAAGGAAGGGCGCTACATTGGCTTTTGACATTGTCAACAATGTAGCTCAAAATCCCTTTTCACAGGAAAAAATTCGTATAAGAATAGTTATTTAGAGGAATAGACCCCGTCGGCTCCTCATGTCTCTCTTGATCGAAGAGAGTGTACTTTTGACAAAGGATAAAATTTCTTGGTTTCTGAACATAAAACTTACCAACCCATCCCCTCCTCGTGTCGATAGTGAAGGAAGTGAAGTGGGGACTTCAGTAAAATGGGATTGACAATTCACGCTTTATTATTGGTCTTTTATTGGGATTGTTAATATTTCTGTTATGCACAAATAGTCTCACTGAACATATAATTCAGTGTTAGCAGGGGATTTCTTTCTTACTTTAATTACTGGAATAACAATCGTTTAAGAGGGGCGTTAGGGGGATGCGAAAACCACACAACCGAACCACAAAACTCAGACCATCCGCCATCACCATTTCAATTGTTGGTTCCTGTTTGGCAATAGTTTTGCGGTCAATCAACCGAGTGACACAGAGCATTGCCCTAATAAGGGAAACATACATAGTAATTCATTCAATCACGAGTTTATTGATACATATCATTACAGTGAAACTAACATGAACTAACTACTTAATTTGGTATGTCAGCAATCAAATCAGATTTTGGGGATTTTTATTTGACCATGGATCAGGATCTCCGTATTGAGGATCAAACTGGAATCAGGGATCTTACTTTGGGATCCAGATACACTGGAAAAAATCCCGCGCTTTAAATGTTGTAAATTTGATGTAAATATTATGTAAATGATTTACATCAAACTTACACCATTTTGACATGTTTTGGACACTTGCATCATATTTACATCAAATTTACAACCTTTTAAAGTGCGTGATTTTTTCCAGTCATACAGATTTGTTGTCCTTGGGGTCGAATATAACTATATAACTTGCTATAAACCTGTCATCATTGCAACTTTTTTATAACCTTCATATGATCACGTGTCATCTTTGGCAAGAGCACCGGCAATATTTCTAACTTGCCTATTTCAATTATATCCGTAATCTTCCTTCTCATCATCATCATCAACCTCGATAAAATCATTATCATTATATAGTGTATTTACACGGGAAATCTGATTGGCTTCGGCTTATTACGGCTCGACATTGATTATTTTGGATATCACAAAAAGCTTATCCAATAATTGTTTATTATCGCACAAGTACCATGACGTTTCCTATTATTCTTGGTCTTGGAATAACTGTGTATCCCATAGTGTCATTTCCTTATCGGTCTGTAATAGTTTCCAGACAAACATCTTTGAAGCCCTTTTGACACTGTCATCGATTTTTAAAACGGTTTTAGTGGCATCTAGAATACCCACCACTGGGAGAGCTCTTTAATGAAGGATGAAGTATTAGAGGCCCACATGTATTCAAGAACCTTTGCGTGTTTCTCACGTACGAAAATTTGCCATTTTTGATTTTTAACCAATCATATTTTTAACCAACCTTTCGTTAATCAAAAGACACCATGGCAAAGGTTCTTGGGTACACATGGACATTTATACCCTAAAAAGCCCGGCGGAGGGTGGGTGGAACTCCGGGGTAAAAGTACCGGGGATGCTCGTCGGATCTCTTTAGAGATAAAAATCCGTGATTGGGAATCTTTTAGGGTTTCAATTTGGAGTTTTTTGGAAATTTGCATTTTCTGCAATCTCTTAGGGTGTCGGAAAAGAAGAGAAAGGACGTTTTTTGGATCTGATTTAATTCAACAATATTTGTTGTGCAATCTCTCAGGTGTTAAAAATCAGTCAGCAACGACTTTTTTTCAAGACTTTCGGGAACTTTTATCTCTTAGGGTCGTTTTGAAAACTGAGCATCCCCGGTACTTTTACCACGGAGTCCAGTCGGACATACCAATCATTGAACAGATCAACTTAAAAACTGAACCAACAGACTTGCACAACCAATCAAGAGATCTTCATTTGATTTTATTTATGTATTCTTCATAATCGATTTTTTTTTTCATGCTATAGGATGCTGCTTCTCAAGAACACCAAGTTACATCTGTGGATTGAAATTCAATCCGAGTTGGATAAACAAATAACAATATTTGCATTTGCCCCCATCCTCCATGTTCTCCATCACAGTCTTCACCTTTGACTTCTCCTTGTCCTTTGATTTGTCTTTTTTTTTTTTTTTGTCTGTGTTTCCTCCTCCCCCTCCCTCGCCTTCTCCCTTGCCTTCTTCTCATAATCCTTCTTCACTATCACCTTCTCCCTGTCATTCTTCGTTTAGTCCCGATCACGTTCTCCCCCTCCATTTCCTTGTGCTCCTCCTTCCCATGAAACTTAAAAAATCAAATAACAGACTGGTTATACTAAAGCTGGTTATACCTAAAATTCAAAAAGATGTCAATTATAAAAACAGGGGTGTATCCAGGGGGGAACACAGGGTGCCTGTGACTCCCCTTTCAAGGCCAAAAATGCGCAAAAACCACAGATTGATATGACATATTAACAATGTCACAATGATAATTTGGTATGTAAGGTACCCCCATTGAAAATCCTTGATATGCCCCTGAAAAATTTGCAAAGCTGAATGCGCCTTCTCAATTCTTTTATTGAGTTGAATTTTTTAATCTTGGAATGATGGTTTTTGATCACTTTTGGTGAGAATTTTTGGTATAAATGGACTTGATTACAAATTGGCAATTGTCACATGAAATTACTGAAATTAAATTATTGGAAAAGCTGGTGTGCAAAATAATAAGACTGATTTTTCAAGTAATCAGTACTAGTTTGGCCAAGATGCATAAAAATAATTTTCAAAGGTTTTCTTAAAAATGGTGTAAAAATAATTTAAAGTTAAGTTTCACTTAACATTGATTTAAGGTGTTTATGTGTTCAGGAATAATTCTAGCATTTTATTTTTCAAAGTTTTAGTGTTCAATGATTGGCAGTTTAAAGAATGGGTTTTGTGTTATTGTTATGGTGATTAGTTCATAGTTTATCGTTTTTGTTTATTGAGTTTAGTTTATTTGCTTATCATTTGTTTATAGTTTTATATTGCGCGCCAGCTTTAGAACCCTGTGAAATTAAAGTCAGTACATACATTAACCTGTGAAAGGAAAGAAATATTGGTTACAGTGAGATTTGAACCCTTACCTTCGTATCCAGTAGTCTGCTGTCTTGACCACCAAGCCATCTAGTGAATCGCTGGTTCAAACCGTTCAACATCAAAAGTCATTGTTTGAATTTGCATGAATTGTGACCTGCTACAAAGTTAATTTTCGAAGCCTGACCAGCAACTTCAACTAGATGGCTTAGTGGGTTAGTGGTTGGGCTATGAATCTGACAGTTAGGAGTTCAAATCTCGGTTATAGATTTCTTTCTTTCCGGAAACTAAGATAAATTTCAAAAATTAAAATTTTTATTTATTTCTGGATTCAAATTAATGCAATAGTAAATAAGTAGTAAACAAGGGTGCGGCGGTCGCAGTAGGTCGGGGAGGGGTGGTCGAGCAGTAGGTGGGGGTGGTCAAGCAACCAGCAGGGGTGGGGTGGCGAAGTACCAGGTGGGGGTGGTGTGGTCAGGTACCACCCCTCCCCTGGTCAAATGGCGTCCCAAGGGGCATCAGTGGTCCCATGGGAGCTCGGCGGATGAGGGGGGAGATAGGGGAGGGGGGATTATAGGGGGGAGAGGACAGAGGGGGGTGGGCTGTCTAAAATACCCCAGTAGGTAGTATGCTGGATTCCTAGTAGATACCTATATAGATAGCTAATAAATAGTATGTAGAATATATATTTTGCATAAGACAATAAAHATCTTGACACACAGACGTAATCCTCCATAGTATTTTATTTTGTCATATTTTAATTCCCAAGGGAATAAGCTACACAATGCCTAATCCCCTTGTTGATATACAATGTCAACAATATGTTAAGTCTGGTTCACAGAAAGACAATCAGAAGTCAAACACAAAAGACAAAGGAAAAATCTATTTCTTATACTGATGCCTTTTTGTGAACCAGACTTTGTTTACACGAGTAATCAGGGATGAAATAATTAAGGGGAAGTCTCCATGTAATTTCCTTTGTATAATTTATAGTGTTGGGTTTCGTGTACCACTTTAAGTGAAGGAACTAGGAGACTTCCCCTATCCTAGAGACTATTAATACTTATGATACCAGTACTTGACTATGAAGTCTTAACTTATGAGTTTACTTGATGTGTCATCTTTTTATTTTCAAGAGTACRAAATGTTGCAGTTAAAAACATCAAGTAAATTTATAAATTAAGACTTGTCATCTATGGACTTCTAGTCAAGTTATATAATCCTAATGTGAATATACTTAAAGGCCCAGGAGCATCTGGGAATGTTGCATATTAAAATAGAAAAGATGCCAGGGTCTCTGTGGACTTTGTTGCTAGCCAACCAGATCAGATTTTGTTATTCATTAATATTGTTATAACATGGAGGTGAGGTTGGTTGAAAATTGTCTGCCATTCGGGCAAAAATTGATAAGCAAAAAATATGAAGAAAGTTGCTGTGTTTTAAGATTGTTCTGGCCAAGGGCCTGGGACAGTAAAGAGGCTCTCAGATGCTCTTGGGCCTCTAACATATAAAATGTAATGTTTGAATCAAACAGTCAGTGGTTTGCCTGGATTGCCTTCTGTGAAACCTACACTTGAACATCCCTTAATCACAACTCTAAAATGCCCAACTCTTTCTCAAAATATATCACCAATAGTCAAGGAAATTATTAAAAAGTTTTGGTTGATATTCAACTGCAGTAACCATGATAGAAATTGAGATTATCAAACCGGTACTATTTTCTTTTACATAAAAAGCATTATCAAGATTTGATCAAGTACTTAATGCAGTATAAATATTCTAAACCACTTGGTAATCATATGTTAATATTAATGTAAGTCTTGGAGTTTGATCATCTCTCATTTTACATGTCTACAATTATTGTAGAAGGCAATCCAGTGCTTTATTTTATTGTTATTGTTGTGTTTTATTTTTCAGTTGTTGTTGCAAGCGAAAGGAATCCAGCTGTCGTCTGGCCATTATAAAGAACAAGGTATGTTAAGTAGAAGACTGCTCCTGATGATTGATGATGCCTAAAACATCATGAAAACAAAATTAAGTTTAATCATCAAGTATGAAACTAGTCTCCTTCGCAGCCTCCCCTTTTGTTGGGCTTCAGAAATCCCGACAAAAGCTGAGACTGCGAAGGAGACTAGTACGGAAATGACTGCACCAATATTAATAATATTATCAAAAGAAAACTAAATAAATAAGAATAAGATATCCAAAAACATGGAAAAGAATTCAAACAAAAACTTAGGACAATTTCATTGTACAATCTAACATAAGTATAGCTCACCAGTTTGGCCAGGGGATCGAGTCAAGACCCCACGTGACTTGAGGAGGGCCTCTTTGTAGAGGCACCTCAAGTGCGTTTCCATTATGCAGAGGTGCATGATCTTATTTGGAACAACGTCAAACTGGTCCAGAGACATGATAACTGAAGACATGGTATTTCTACTGAGTTTGCGCACCTATAACTGTGTAACCAAGCCTTGTTAACGCACTAAACTTAAATGACAAATAGTCTAACATACGTGCTACACATTGGCCAAGTTTGAACATTGAGGAATAAATATCCAACGAGATACAAGGAATTAAAACTAGAATAAAGATGGTTTTACTTACCACAATCAAGCAAGAAAGCAATGAAAAATCTAAAAAAAAAAGATAATACATGAAAAGATGAAATAAATGTCATTTTCATTTCTTTATAAATAAAATGACAGTCAGTTTCACAACTCTGATACAAAACAACTTTTACTCTGAATGAAGAATGCAAAAAAGAGGATAGAAATTGAGTGCTTTACCACGCCATAAAACAATCAATTAATTATTTATCCATTGCTCTTCGAGCTGGCATTGGTTGGAATTCAAAACTTGAATGACACAAAATCAGCGAGTAATTTGATTGAGTTCTCACCTTTGACAACAGGCCCAGTGGACTGCAGCAGCCATGCTGAAATACAAGCCAGATACAAGCTCAAGAAAAAGTTTAGATAGACATTATCAGAACATTATATCATAGGCAACGATTAGATAGTGATTCGCTAGGCTACTACATCAATAAGCAAAGTGCAATGAGTGATATATTGCAGCACAGAACCTGGAGGAGGGTTTCCGAGGTCAGAAATCGACAAACAACATCAATATGAAATGTACAAGTATAAACATTGCACTGAAATAGACATGATAGCATAATTTATAAAATTAATGTATGATTTTTCAATAAAATACCTTTTAAATAGCATAAATTCGAGTATTTTCTTGCATTTGTTATTCCTTCATTCGACGAGGTGATGGCGGACATCTTGTGCGCGGTTAGGCCTGGGCAAGCAAGGAACGCCTAGAAGAAAATGTACCAAAAAAAAAAAAAAACGAAAGAAAAATAAACTTCAGACTACGTCTCCTGCCATTTTATCAAGATTATTAATCAAAAACAGTGCATTACAAAAAAATTATTTGGGATGAGACGTGATTTGAGGTGGAAATGTAAAGAAAAAACCCCGCTTTATTTCTTAACTATATAAAGAGGAATTCTATATATTGAACATGAAGAAATAAACTAAACCTAAAACAGAACAAATCCCTTGGAAAATCAGGTAAGTAAATACTATTTTAAGTTGAAGACTTAGTTGAAAGCATGAAAAATGTATAGATGGGAAAATGAAGGAAAGAATGACAGAATGAATGAATAGAGCATGAATGAATCAAGCAGTATATAATCACTGAAAAAATGAAATGAAAATCTTCCTAAATGGAAGTAAAAATATCACATAACTTTCTTCCTAAATATGCAAATTACCACAGGGATCCCACAAATGACCAAAATGGCCAAAAATCAAAAGCTTGTATTTTTATTAAAAACGATTGTTATGCAAATATTTTCTTGGATTCCTTCTATTCAACATCAGAAGATACCATTTGGCTTGTTTTTGGATGGTCCCGCTGCGTTCTAGTAGGATTTCGGGAGATGCTCAAACGGTGATTTTTCCCCTCACTTTACAAGCATGTTTCTCCTATTTCAAAACCTTTAATCAAAAAATCAAGACCACCACAATAAACACTGGTTATCACTCTATATACATGCCAAAAAGAATGATCTAAATCGGTCTAGTTGCGGAGAAATGACCCTAGTGGAAAAAATGTCGAAAAATAGCGTTTTTTTCGATTTTTCGAGTTGGCCCAAAAATTTCGAAATTTTCAAACTGCTTT